TTGTGTTTGTGGTAGTCAAAGTTCAAAAGGGGCATATTATATTTCAAAAAAAAAATAAGTAATTTCGCTGCCTTTTCTCCGATGAGGCGATTTCTGAGAGGCTCGTATATAAGGCCGGCTGCATTGAACAATTGCTCACTTGGAACGCTGGCGGGTGGAGCGCTCAAATATTTGCGGGTCAGATCTGTCAATTTGTCGTATTTTAGTTTGGTGTTCCCCCAATCGAGAGGATTTTCACCGAGATGAGTTCGTTTTTCTTTAAGATTGGCCTGCAATTGAGCTTTAATTTCACATTTTTCAATGTCTCCAAATTCTTCATCCGAGTCTTCGCTTTCGCCGGAGGAATCTAAAATTATTTCTAGGTTGATTTTAAGACTTTTAGCATTACTTATTGAAGGCCCATATATGTTACTTGATATACTACTTAACCGTTTAGTGCTTGAAGCTAAAAGCCGGTTATCGTCCGCACCCTGGTTAGACAGACTTAGAGCCTTTTCAACATTATTAGAGTGGACTCTTGCTAATATACAGATGCGAATGTCGAATGGGAATGTGTAAAGTGATGCGAATCATTCGCATAACGAATGCGAATGCAAATATAAGCAACATCCCTCATATGTACTTATCGACACCTGAGTGGAAGGTCGACCTATCTCGGCTGTCAGTTCGAAAACGCCCTATCTGAAAAAACTTTTCAAGAACGACCTATCTCAGAATTTGGTTGAAGGGCACCCTACCTTAGAATTGGGTTCAAAACGCCCTATCTCACATGAAACCGAACTCTGAGATATCGATCAAATTTTGACCAGTTCGTTTTCGAATTGGCTACCAAGATAGGCCGATCTTCCGCTCAGGTGTCGATATATGTAGATAATTAGGGCATTCACCAAATGCCTTAAGAGTCGTAATATCTGAAAGACATACCATACCTACATACATATGTCTATGTACATATCAGCTTAAAAGTATTTTCGTGTAGTCATAAATCCTCTAAAACCATTATGACGCTTCAGGCGTCTTGTGTAAAACTTTGTTGTCACTTTCAATATCATTTCATTCCATTCAATTTAATTTAGTCATTCGCCTTGCGTTTATGCGCCATTCTGCTTACACTCCTTAGCTGCAGAGTAACTGTGTGGCTGTTGGTATGTCATTTTTTTTTTGAAAAGTTTGCTTTAGATGTTGGTGCTCGCCTTGACATTGTCCTTGCTCGCTGTCTTGTCGTCAGCACTGCAAATGAACGTAGGTAGCTTAGTTGGTTGACTGCAGTGTTGGAAAACTATGGTGTATACATTCGATAGTTTCGATAGTGATAGTGCAAAATATTCGATACTATCGAAAGCTTTCTTACATATCGTCGCCTGGATAAAATATTGTCGTATGTTACTTTCGGCAGGTTTAGGAAATTCGCGATTGAGGTTTTGGAATGCAATTTCTCAAAAAAACGCGATGATATATTTTCTCCAAAGTCTCGGAGAATGTTACTAGTTCACAAAATTTGTCATCAATTTGGCAGCCACTTTGTATGAAATACGACAAACCTCTCTATTCTAACAGAGTCACAAAACTTAGCTTATCACTGTTGTGATTTCTAGTGCGCCGCAAAATGTGCCACCTAAATTCGATTTCAATTGCTAGAAAAGTATACAAAAACTAGAGAAATTTGTGTTGTAACGGTATATTTGTTGCCAATGTCATACAAATTTGTACTAAATAAGTTAATGATATATTTTAATCAATATCTCAGAAACTAAGGGAGACATTGAAAAATGGATAGCGCAATTTTAAAGATCTTAATTAGTTTGGAATAACTGCATTATTAACTAAATTTTTACTTTCGCGGTAAACTTTTGAGCTTTTGAGCGCCTTTATTCATATCTAGTGACGATATATGTATGTATTTATGTATGTATCTTTCATAGTCCAATTCTAGCAATGTGAGCAATATACAACTATCGATAGCATCTAGAAAAATTCGATAGTTGCGGCAAAATGAAACCATCGATACTATCGATAGCCCCATCGATATTTCTCCATCACTAGTTGACTGACTCTGTAGT